AGTGCATATCAAGTTTTTGAAAACCAGACTATGTTCAAAAAATGTACAGAGACAGCAGCTTTGCAGAGGAGAGAAAAAAAAACCTTCTCCTGATATAAAATATACTGCTACAACAGTAAAACTCTGCTCAAGAGTAGGCAGCTCCTTCCATGTATAGAAAGCAACACTGAACATCAAGTTATCTCCAGGGCTTTTACTTGAAAGTTTCATCAAAACCACACACTTTACAGAATTGATCAGGTCAATGGCTTTACTCAAGCTCAAGGTTCTTAAGCTTTCCAAGCTTAAAGTCAGAGCTGCTGTTTTACCAGCACCAGGTGAGCACAGTCTAACCCTCAACCACTTTTATTTGTCCTCAAACCATAACCCAGGAAAGTGATTTAATCCAACATCAATGAAGGGGGTGGGGAGTTGGTGTTAGCTCCCGTCAGTTGTTGGGCCTGGCTTGTCACAAGCAGCAGCTGGGAGCTGGGCACGACCAGGTGTGGATGGGACGAACTGCTGGCCGGGGCACCGGCACTGGGCTACAGCAGACACAGGACCACGCTCAACACAGCACGGGCTCCTCTCGCACGTGCATCGTTCACAGCAAGAGACGGGCTCCGGACTCACCCAGAAATTGGTCCATCTTCCTGCTTACCAGTAGTGTCATCTACAGGAGCAATAACAACAAGAGAAAGAAAGTTAGTAGAGTGAAAGGGGCCGAATTCTGAACCCCCAGGAGTGTCTCAGCTCGGGAATACCTCTAAGTGACCACGCACTATAACCTTACTTAGCTCAAGCTAACTCAGCTTAGCTCAAGCTTCCCCAAACCTCGACAAGAGAGGCACTGATTAGAAAGAGATAAGAAGGCAAGGTCTACCCGCCACTGACACGGGAGCTCCCGGTACAACCGCAGGGCTATTGTTAAAGGGACAATAGAGCACCGCCTCCCCGTCCCTCAGGCCCCCGGGGGCAGCACGTACCCCCGTAGAGCCAGTGCTCCTCGTCCTCCTCCGCCTCGAGCGGCGCCG